TTGAATTTTGCCAATCAGCCCAGTAGAACGGGAAGTGTAGGGCAGTGTAGCTGCCATGCTTTTTGGCACATGGCAGGTGATAATCTATTTATCATCACTTTAATGCGACATGTGTTTGTGTATTTAGGTATGTTATCTTTATCCTTGCATTAATACACATTTCTACATAGTGACGATCCTGCAATCTTCTTACTATAGTGAAATGCCAAATATTCTAATAACTAATAATTGTTTAGGATTAAAAATCCACAAAAATGCATGGCAGGTGCATAATGGAAAATTAGCACCTTAATGTACAGGAGGGAATTTAGTACAACAAGACTTAGGTAAGCCTTTAAGCATATATGTGAGAAATAGATGTAAATACAATAAATAACAAAACTAATATAATTTATGCTTAATTTCCTCAGCATGCGATAATAGTAAGCCAAATTTCAGCACAACAACACGTCTTTAGTCACCAATGAGTCGCAGACAGTCAACAGGACCAACAGGACGTTTAGAAGACACAGAGAGTTAGCCAACAGAACATTTAGATGATAATGTGTACATGCAGACAAAAAAAAAAGAAAAAAAAAAAAAAGAGAGAGAGAGCATGATTTTAATAAAAGTTATCTATATTTATTTGATAAAATGCTGTTTTCAAGGTATACATTGAGAAGGTTTACGGATAAGTACCACATTTTTGTTTTTACACTCATGTCCATAAATTAAGGATAATGCAAAATCGGGCAAAGGAAGAGTTAGAAGCAAAACAAATTTGACTCATTTGTAAAGCTTATTTATTAAACAAAAGGTAAAGAGCAAAAAAGATGCTATAGTTTGATATTATTAAAAAAATTAGCGATTTTTTCTCTCCCTGGAGCAAATTACAAAAAAAAATCCTATTTACAAAAAAACAATATTACATGGTTAGTATGATTGTTAATACATTGTATGTCTCCCAGACCATGCAATACAGTCCGTACAACGCCTAGGCGTGCTGAGTATCAAATTATCGATCTGATCTTGGGGGATATTACGCCACTCAAAAAGCAATGCTCTCCGAAGTTCTGGTAGACATGTAGGAGGAGGTTGACGGGCTGCAACTTGTCGGACTAGCATGTCCCACACATGCTCTACTGGATTCAAGTCCGGTGAGAATGCTGGCCAGTCCATACGGGTGATATCCTCCGATTGAAGGCATTCGCTTACGATGTTTGCACGGTGAGGACGGGCGTTGTCATCCATAAACACAAATTGTGTGCCCATGGCGCCCCGAAACAAACGTACATGTTGTTCCAGAATGACGTACCGATAGATTTGGCTTGTTGTGCTTCCAATTTGAACATGCAAGCCAGTTCTGGAACCCAGAATAATTCCACCCCAAACGAGCACTCCTGCACCACCATAACGGTGTCGTTCAATGATGTTTTCTTGGTGGTAACGGGTACCTGGAGCTCTCCATATGAAAGTCCGGCGAGAATCAGACTGCAAGCTAAACCTGGACTCGTCGGAAAACATCACACAAGACCACTATTGCGGTGTCCACAATGCATGCTCTCTACTCCAGGCTAACCGCAGGCAACAGTGAGTTTCAGTAAGTGGAACGCATCTGACAGGTCTACGAGCATATAGACCAATCTGCCCTAATCGTCTGTACACGGTCTGCCTTGAAATTGTCATATCAGTGGCTGAAGAGAGCTGACGAGACAGGTCTGAGGCTGTGCTCCGCCTGTTTCTTTTGGCAGTAACTGCCAAATACCGGTCCTCATTCGGTGTTGTAACTCTGGGGCGACCTGTGCTGTATCGTCTACTCACATTACCATTATCCTGGAATCGTTTCAAAGCCTGGAGATGACACTCTGGGCAATTCCAAGTTCGTCTGATACTTCCAGTTGGATGCGTCCACATTCCAGACGGCCGACAATTCTACCACACGTAAAAAATCATCCAAATGCGTCCTTTGTGTCATAACTATTCGGTTATTGCACTGAAATGCTTATAAAGTGCCTGCGAACAATTTTACTTCTTTGCCTGTATTCCTTACATATCACTCTCTCACACTCTCGTCATTGTGACGTACCATCGGTGTCATCTGGTTACTTCCTGAAATTTGCATATGATTCTTGAAGATGTGTGTAGTGATTTTACAGGTGATATGTTTATTTTAGAGTTCGATTTCCACGTGACTCCGAACTATCCTTAATTTATGGACATGAGTGTATTTGATGTCTATAAATTTTTAAATTGGACAGAAAAGCAACCATATTTTGGAGAAGATTTTGAAATCAATTTCACCAGTAATTAGACACAGGAGGAAAATAATTTTAGATGGAAAGAAATGAGTGGAGCAAAGCAAAAACAAATGTAACGTGATCTGATGAGAAAAATGGAATGTAAAGAGAAAACTAAGATATCAGAATTTTGAAAATGTTGAAAAATTAATGTCATTAACTAAAAAGAAAATTAATTTTATTAACGTAGAAGGTTTCTAATAGATATAATTCACTAATTGAAATTTTGCATATAATTTTTGTAGATCAAAAGTCAAAATTATGACAAAGTATTGAGTTGTGACCAGCTAATAAAATTTTACTTCCTTTTCTAACATATATGATTCGTATTACCTGATGAGAAGTTTCGATGCTTTTTCAATTTGTCTGATATATATCAAACCACACTGACATGACAAAATGCATTATCCTAAAATTCTACAAGATATATCACAAACCTCACTGACCTGAAATTTCACAAGAATTAAAGTCAAAAATGGGATCTTTAAGAACTGAATTTCAAAATTTACTGAACCTGAAAAGGAATCTGAAAAGTGAATCCCTCAATAAGAACCGATTTCAAATAATTATTTTCTGAGAAAGCAAATTTTGGGAGCATGATATATATGTTAAATGGAAATATTTTTAGTTAGCAGAATGATATGATTTTGCAAAAAAAAAAAAAAAAAAAAAGCAAACAAACAGGAAAGGATTTATGGTAAACAATTTAGGTTCTAGACCAAGAATTACGATCAGTATATGAAAAATTAGAAGTTGAACTGGCAATTTCCACTACCTGAAAATGAAACCTGTCTGTCAAATGCTGATCACATTTGTGACATTTAAGCAGGCCAAGCCAATGAAATGTAATGTTCCTAAGTAATGTTTGTGTAAATAGGTTAAAGTATAATACGTCATAAAATTTTTCATTGAAATATAAAGCCTAGCACTATCCATGATGAATTTTATGAAATAAGAAGCATGTAGGACCAATGAAAAATGTAATGCATGTAGAGGTTACTAACAGTTATTTTAAGTTTAAACATGCTGTACTGTTTATTCTTGTTTCCTATCTACTATTCTCTACCAGAATGAGTATTTAAGGAAAGTTCAACTTACTTCGAGAGAGAGTGCTTAGTGGTGCGTGTTTGCCTTCTGGCTACTTCACTCTTGAATTTACCATGCTGGTACTATACGTGGCTGTTGATAATTGCTAGCTGGTTAACTTAAGGGCCAACTACATTAGGTCTTTGTGTCTAGCTTCAAATAAGTCTGTTTAGTTCGGTATTAGATTAGTTTCTTATTTTCTTATCCTGATTGCATGAGTAAAGGCCTTCCTTTAAGCTTGAGAATGGGGTATTTTAACTCTTCTCTTTTTCATTAAATACAGTCAAAAGTCGTTATTCCGGACTTATCGGGACTTCGGCGATTCCGGATTATCGATCGTCAGTTTAAATCTGGTAAGATGGCATGCAGAAATTATAAAATTAAAAATATGAAACTGTAATTTATGAAATAAAGAACAATTATGATCTAAAGGGTATCAAAATTTAAAAAAAAAAAAAAAAAGCTTAATATTTATTTGTTTACTTTATTAAACATTTCTTTCAATGTAAGTTGTTTAAGTTGCTTTCTTTTTTTTATGTGATAATACATTCTCTTTAATTCTATAAACAGACATAATTTCTTGTTCAGTTACAAAGTTCCGCTGTTCAAGTCCTTTAATTGCTGTGTCGAGAATACTGACTAATTCTGTCGATCGAAATTTTTTTGTTTTCAATTTCCTCTGTCACTTTCTTCGCTATCGGAAGCGAATTATAATGATGAGGAATTTCATTTAAATCATATCAAAGACGGAGTACATCGAGATGAAATACTACATTTAGTAAGGAATTATAAGCCAAATAAAATAAAAAACATCTGCCCTGAAGATAAGGATAGTGCTGACAGATCAACTTCCAATTCATTGCACGCCGCAGCGTTAAAGATAACAAAGATAAACAAAGGATATGCCTTTATCCATTTTTTGCAGCAATTCCACTTTTTGTTTAATGGACTTCGAAACATACTTTTGCTTTGTAGATCCTTTACATATTAGTAAATGTATATCAGAAATTCTATTTGACATAATCGAAAGTTCAAGCTTACTTTTATAAAATTGCTCTAACAGTCTGCAAAAAATAATAAGCCGAATCCAATTTGAAGATTTAGGAACAATACAATCTGCAACATTAACTGAATTAGATAATTTTAGCTTAGCTTATACCATCTGTTATACATTAAACGCCCATTCGTAAACGTATTTTGCGCATGGCACACGCATATTCGCAGCCGTAAAGGTCTTACGCGCAACGCATGCGCAGAAAGTTTGCAGCTTTGAGGTCCGAATTATAGATGATTCCGGATTATGGGTGTCCGAATTAACAACTTTTCACTGTATTTGAACTCAGCGATAAGTCACTACACAGTTTAATAGGTTCGCCGATAATTTAGCAGAGACAAAGTACTGAAGAACATTACACATAATAAAAAAGATTTTTTCTTTTTAAAGTAAATATTGTAACAACTTTAAAAGCAAACAGTAATGATGTTACATGAACTTCTTGGCATGTTTAGAAAAACATCTGGCAATGACTCCAGTCTCGATAACAGAAGATTACTAAAACGATCATGCAATGATATTTAAATTTTCAGAAATGATGCTTTTGTTAAAATAAAATTAAATAAATACAAAATGAAACTTACATTCTCTTCCAACAGCTCCTCTCACAACCGCCTCAGGAACAGCATTCAAAATTTTTTTCTGCAGTTCCTTAAAGCGGGGAGCGTAGCCTCACTTCCCACTGTTAAAATATAACATATTAAATTATTTATTTTATAATAAAACTTTGATAAATTTTACATAAAACTGTAAACACACACACAAACCAAAAAAACTATGATACCCTGATACACTTCTAAAACGTTTGATTAGCATCAGAAGTGCTATTGTTCTCGAAACTCACTTCTTGTTCGTATCACTTTTGTGTTCGAATCATATTTTAAATTGTTGCCACCAAATGTTATCGTCATGTATTGCTTAAAAAAATTAAATAAAAAAATATAATTCTGAAACGTTTCTGATTTTAAATTACGTCCAAAGGAGCATTTTTAATGCATTGTGAACAACCTTTCAACAACAATATTGTAAAATAATTTTTAAATGAGCATATCTTTAGAATTTTTAATGTAGAGTCTTGCGTGCTGGAGATAAAAATGTTTTTTTTTTTTTTCCCGTACAGTGTTGCCATTGCTGGCTTTGAAATCGTTTAGTTTGTTAATCAAAAATTTATTGAAGTGTTACAAAATATGAAATCGATAATAAAACAAATTAGTATACAGCAGCAGTCTTCAAATTCTGTTTAATTGTGAAATCCATAAACAATGATTTTTTTGTTTGTATACCAAAATTACAAAAAACAAAAAATAAATGTGTTCCATATACTTTATGTAGAAATGAAAAGAAAACCATTATTTTATTGCAAATTTTTACTAATAATTTAAACACAAATTTTATAAGGGTAGTTATTAATTTATTAACATACACATTACATAATTTTCACAACTGAAATATGTTCGCTCTTTTTGCACAAAATACAAAATCTGATTCTACTTACATTAGCCATTTTGATTTTGGTATTCAGTTAATCTCTGTACTTTATTTGCATTGCTACATAGGTCGAATGTGATTTTTCACTCAAACAAAATTGTGGTGAATGGCATTAGGATCTGTACAACTTTTATTGAAATTCCAAAATATTTGTAACCAAAAACTAAGCAATTCTTTTCACTGATATTTAATTTTTAACTCTCTGTGTACGGCTTAATTTTTATACTTCTCGGCTCTAAAATACGAAATCTGATTTTTTGATATTTTCTTCAGTTTATATTTATTACCATTCACACCTTTATCAACAGTTTTTAAATAATATAAAAATTTGAATTACTTTTTGTGATTTCAAATTATATATAATACAAAGTCTGAAATCCGGACGTCCAATATCAAGATCTCTAGCAATTTTTTTTCTTTAAGAATTTTTTTGTGAAAATGGGAGAAAGAATTAAATTTAGACAATAGGGATTTAAGTCAGGGATTTAAGCCAACTGCATAGCGAAGTATTGAGTGTGTTGACAAGGAGAAATTTAACCAAAATAGCTTTCCAATGTAAAAGATTTTGTAAATGATATTCAGATGTCAAAAGATTATATTTAAAGCTGTTTGAATTAAGAATAACTAATTTTTTGTTCAAGTAAGCTTTAAATATATATGGGAATTTATTCAGGATTCAGATAAGGCTTAAGCACATGTGGAAAATAGATGTAACTAATATATAATTCAGCTTATGCTAGAAGCAAGACAAAATTTAGCAGAATGACACATCCTTAGTCGCCATTCTCATGATTCTTTTTGAATACTTGAAGAAAAATTGTTTAGACATCGCTACTCGAGTCATTTCTCAAAATGCCCTGTGTTGATAGCCATGCAGTGATGAAAGCAAAAAATAATAAATTATGATTCCCCAGGTGGACATCAACAACATAAATTATTCAGTACATGTACAATCAAGGACATTTTGGTTTTAAATGTATGTGTACCAAAAAGAAGCAGCTATGGAGACAAATTATGGATCATGCAGATTTGTGCTAATAATTGATTGTTTTTTAATATGGTGGTAATTTAATGAGTGCTAAAGTGAAATTAAGAATCTTGATTCTCCATGTTTTATTACAAAAAAATATCAAATATGAAAATGTAAAGCATACAATAAATAAATAAAATTAAAAAAAAATAAAAAATAGAGGGGAGGAAAGAAAAAGGTTACTTGTGATCCAGAGGTCTTGATTTTAGATCATTCAGGATATTGGATCTTGTACTGCATATGGCTTGTAAAATGTTTTTCTACAAGGCAAATACGTACCACTAGAACCTTTTAATGAACATATAGCAAAAGAATATTTGTCAAAAATTTTCTCTATGACATCTAATTTAAAATCAAGAACAAAACTTTTCCCCTGTACATTATAAATGAATTTTACAATGCTACCCCAATGAAAAGTCGCCAACTCATGAAGAGTTTGTGACTTAGCCGAAACCATACGTTTGGCTCATAGATGCTCTTTGAAAATAACAATAAGAAAGTCACTTTAATAAAAACTAAAAATTTTATGCACAAAATCGAAAATCTGTACAGCTGATGCTTGCATTTTTACAGCTATTTATTTAGTACTGTTTAGCGAAATGATGGTTCTAATGTAAAGTGTATAAATCCATGTGTACTCACATATGTGACACGTTCATCATCATATGCTAATCTGCGAAGTGGCTACTTTTGACAGTACATTTGAAAGTATGAAAAAAGTTTGGTAGTTTCATTGAATGGAGATGCCAGAGGTGCAAATAATCAGAAAATAGCAAAATTTCTTTCGAATTTTGATTTCTAGAATCCCTAGTGAGTAGTATGTAACCCTAATGTTTCAAAGAATACAGTTTGAAGACTACTGGTACATAGCGCCATTTAAAAAGCACAGATAATGCCTTAAATTAAGTATAAACTGAAAATATATGGTTAATCTAGAATACATGCAACATACTAACAATACCCCCAGCTTAATCCATCAATCTGTTTATCTCAGCATACTGAAAAAACAATAAAAATGCCTAGTTGGCATGCCATTCAATATCTTCAAACAAAAGAAAAACAACTGTTTTCATTTTTATTTATTAAAAAAGTACAATCTAAATATTTGCGATGCTACGTATTATGGACTGAAACAAAAACAAACAAACAAAAAAAAAAACTGCAAACATAAAATGTTAGTTAAATAAATTGCATTCGATAGTGATCAAAATGGATATTTTCGTTGAAATATGCTGTCTGAAAATTTTCCTGATTACAATAAAAAAAGGAAGGTGTATGAAAATAATACTAAAAATTATTGAAAAACATTCTTGCAGAATATCAATTGATCAGGAAGAAAACCTTCAACAATATAGTAGGGTAAACCGAAATAAAGCTCACTAAAAACACAATGATTTACAACAAATAAAATAATATGCCTACTAATGTTAGGGCTGAAAACTGCATGCTAAAATTTATTTTACATTTAATAGCTATTATGAATCAATTTGCAAATGATACATTGTATTTCATTTAATTAATCCATTTAAGTTTTTTTTTTTTTTTTTTTTAACCGAATCTTTGAAACTGCACAGAGATAATTTGTGCTTTTCAAGCTCACAGATTATAACAATCATATATAATCAGCAATAATTGTTTGTTGGTTAATTCTCTTCTCATATATTTTATGTAGCTAACATTACAATGCAGTTAGAAAATTGTAATTAAAGCCACTATTAGATTTGTAAAGATGCTAAAAGTTTTCAAATGACACAAAAAACTTAAATTACAATTTCATGACACAAAAAACTGAAACTAAAATATTCAACAAAATTATTGTTTCTACACTTGCAGATATAAATATAGTTCAAATAAAACTAACAAATGCTGTCAGGTTTTGATGAATGATATTGTTATCCATATCACCTATGACATATGCAATAGGTTTTCCATAGGTTTAATCTGCTTTAAGAAAAAATTTGGCCCATCTGGGAAGTGAAAGAAAATACTACATTTTTCATATCTTTAATATTTATTATGCAGTGTAATTTCGATTGTTATTTATAACCTCTTGCCAGCATGATGGTAATTTGTAAACACAATTCTTTAAAAATACTTTGTTCTTATAGACAGAGAACTCGAGTAATGCTTGTCCGACATCTGCTTCAATTTTGAATTTTTTCTCCTTCAAGAAATTTTCAAAGCATAGAAATAAGTAATAATTGAAGAGCACTAGAGTGGATACCGCAGTATTTTGCAACCTAGCTCCATGATTTTCTGACAAGTTGCCAAAGCAGCATATAGTCTGGCATTAACATTATGCAGTATGACGCGAACATGCTGACCTTTCTTGTTTGGCTGCTTTCTTTAAATCATCCATTCGCTGACAATATATCTCCAAAATGAGCTTTTTATTGTTTCAAAAGCACGTATGGTAATGGTCCTTGGACATCCCACCACATACACAACATTCTCTTGTTTAGGCTCAAGCTCAGTTTAGAGGTGGAACGGGCAGGTTATCTAGGCTCACAGTACACTCTTTTGCTAGCAATATTTTCATAGGTAACTAACTCACTTTTCATCTTAGTTATCATAAGGTACAATGCTACCCCAGGTTCTTATTCCTAGCAATCAGAAGGAATAAGAACCTGGGGTTGGTTCTTATTCCTAGCAATCAGAGATGTGTATATGATGACTTGATCACACACATTTTTCTCATGTAACTCATGAACCACCCATCTGAAATATTTACTAGCCAATTCCAGTTTCTAAATGTAGTCCAAAATGATTTATCAAGTTTTTTTTTTTTTTTTTTTTTTTTTTTTTTTTATTTCCAGTGTTCTCAAAAAAGGATCTTCCTCTAGCATGTTCTTGACAATACCATCATCATTCAGAGATCACCACTCAGAGCATGGCTTATTATTAATGTCAAAATCACATGCTTCAAATATTTTTAACTATCTCCTGCATGTTTTATCCAAAGCTGCATTGCCAACAAAAACTTTCATGGAATTTTGATGCACTTCTGTAGTATATTTTCCTTGCTGAAATTCATACAAAATACAGTGTTATAAATGAACTTTATTGGTAGCTGTGCTCCCATGGTTTTTCTCACTTAATAATGATAATGAGACGTTTTTGTTTCTGTTAATGTAGAACAGTACGTGTGTATGAATGCAATGATAAAGAGAGAGACATAAATGTCTCAAACAAATGCATGCATATTGAAACTTGAAATAATATTAACGGACAGAAATTTTTAGTAGACCTTAACATAATATATATATCAGCCTACATTAAGATTAGATCACTTGACACAAAACACATTGTCTAATCTTTGGAATATGGTAACAGGTAGTTTGGCGACATTTTGGTAGGCGATAAAGGACCTAGGACTTTGGGAATAATGTGAGAAGTACTCAGTTCTGATTACGCATTATTTTGTGTGAGGGAAATGAGAGATCATGAGATATGCCATGTGACATTAATGGACGAATTACAGTTCTTTAATCGGAAAAGGGGGGAAATCTGGAAAAATCTGAAAATTTTGTATTTAGCTTCATTCTGTGTTGTGTGAAACAGTGTTGGTTAATTTTTGAATCCCATGGCCCTATCTAAAGTGAATTTGAAATGGGTATTTAGTGGGATTGAAAGGGGTAGTAATAAGTGTTTTTTTAAGGTTGTGCGACATAGAAGTAAAGATTGCTTATTATTCAGCAGTATATTCTACCTGGTACAATAATATCTGATTGCTGGAAGTCATATGTCTGTTTGGAGGATGAAGGTTTTCAACATCTTGCTGTGAACCATAAGTATGATTTTAAAGATCCTGAAACAGGCACACATACGAATACAATAGGGCACGTGGGGTGCTATAAAAAGTGCTATTCCAAAGCATTATGATAAGCAGAATTTCGTTTTTTATTTAGCAGAGGAAGTATGGCAGAAAAATTCCCAGAAAAAATCATTCAAGATTTTGTTGAATCCATAAAAAATGCCATCCGTCA